CCGGTACCTCGAAAGAAAGGGTAAAAGCAACATGCCTACCGGTAACTACGTGTGCACATACATGTACGCGTAGTTGCTGTGTTTCCTGAAAGGCTTTCTCGGAAAAACCTTATACCGGTAGATTTCTTTCGATTTCTCTTGAAGTACGGTAGCGTATTGCGTGTGCTGGTGTTTCAGATTCACTTTTGTGCTTCAAGGAATGGCAAAACGAAGCCCATTAGACCTTGTTTCATTTTCAAGTAAAGATTTCTGGGAAAAATCTAATGCTACATTGAGTGTTGTGGGAAATATGAGCAGTAATTTTTGAAGTCTCTAGCATTTGAGGTGCGTGGAACATGCTAAAATTTAAAATCAAAAGAAAAAGTCAGTCAAAAAAACAAAATAAATAGTTAGCAGTCATGAATAGATTAAGGTGCCATAGTGTGCTAACCAAGCACATGTACATGTACGTGTATAATTAGTGAAATTACCAATACATAAATTTACATGTTCATGTGCTTGTAGTCTGTGCATTTTGTATATGGCACGTGTACATGTCAATTTCTACATTACATTAGGCTTTGCATTTTTTGTCCTGTCAACTCCTACTAACGTGAACCATAGCAGTATATTGGTGATTGACTACATGTAGTGGTACACATGTGTATTCCAGACTCTCAGCATATGCTTGTACGGCAGACCGCATGCCCATTCCTGTAATGGATTGATTTTCCTGAACGTGAGTCCAAGTCGACTGGGGCTGAACATTAAGTCACAGTCCATGTCGAGAGGGCACCATGTGTACACTTGCCTCGCATAGGCCATGTGCTCTCGGCGTGTCTCAAGTGTTTCACAGAACGCACCATATGTTCAGTGTCTGTCGAGCACTTGGCATTTTGTTTCTGATGCAGAGAAAAATAGGAAGAAAGGCGTCTTTGGGAAAAACGCCTTTTTGAGGGAAGTGATTCAGTGCTTTGCAGTGATGGAACATGTGTTTAAAGAGTGCAGTGCATAGATTGTACAAAGTTGCATAAAGATTTTATCCCTCCACCATAATAAACCGAACTGATGATTAACTGTCACTAAATAAGAAAACTGTAAAAACAAGCAGTTAAAAGAGTGTGCTGTTTTAGCAAACCTTGGACACTTGCACGTACTGGTACCCACGTGAAAAATACAATAACATATAATGATATATCGACGTGTAGGTGAGACCTTGCAGTCAGTGCATTCCATTGGAGCAGCTGTCTTTGTTTTAAAATCTCTTTTATTATGGACAACAATACGAGCAATTGCACTGACAGTGATGGGTTTACAAAGGAATAGATACGGGTGCTCATGCACATTACTGGTACCTTTACCAGATGGTTGCTTTCACATTTGCGATCCACAAAAAAGTGAAAATGAGTCTTAAGTCGCCAGAGCAACTTTGTCACCCACAGTATCCACTTTCATCAGGATACCAAACTGAGTGATACATCAAAACAAAAAGCTCAGTTTGCTCTTCCCAATGCAAATGAAAACTCCAAAAGTGGCTTTGGTGACCTAATACTCATTTTCACAGAGTAGGTCACATTTGTTCTTGTTCAAATGCACATTTAGGGCCTACCAGAACTGATACCGTACCGTACTTTGCAGGTGATTCAGCATCGTACACAGAAGTTTGAGCTGTGTTTTGGGATCAGGAACAGCTTTCAAATAATGTCTCAGAATCGAGAAGCTCTACACATGTATGTAAATTTCATCCCAGGTAGAGGTCGTTTTCTTTCCAACCCTTCAACTGAGTTCATTTCAGCAGAACACTGGCCAGACGTACATGTGTGCTTTGTGCACACGTGTTTGATCAAATGATTGGGATGGTGTGTGAACCGAGCTTGTAAAGTTTTTCGGCAGTCACCAGAACATTATTTCATGGCTGAAACTACACATCTGCATCGTCTGCCCCGACTGCTGGGACAGCCAGCCAGAAGGTGGTTTAATTAAATCAGAACCCGCAGTCTAAAAAAAAAAGAAGATAACAGAGAAGAATTGTCTGGTGGATTCACAACAGGATAAATTGGCTCCATGGTAGTGACTAGCAAGCACAGTGATCACTTGGTGCGTGGAAAATAATTAGGTCAGTGTCGACAGAAGGGAAATGAAGAGGCGGTGAACTGTGCACACAGACATGTGCGTAATTTTTTTTCTTTTTTGGTGTTCAAAAGGACTTGCCCAACTTCATTTTATTTCAAAGGGTTCATGTGAAGCGAGAGTGCTACTTTTTTTGAAAAATCTGTGGAAGTCCATATGGGGTTACCATAATGATTTCAGATAGTTGCTGATTAAAAAAAAAATACATGTAGCACTCTGTCCGAAAGAGTGCTGTGATTTTTCGTTTAATTTGATCTGATTTCAGGAGAATCTTTACCTGAACATTTGCCTCTCCCCCAGATATGTGATTTTGCATTTTCCCCCTGCCAAAAAGCCCCCTCCCCCAAAAAAGCCTAATGTCTTTCTTTGATGTACATGTATGTGTACATTACAACATAATTGATGTGTATTTTTTTTAAAATGTGCACACACCCTTTTTATTTTATTGAACAACCTGTCTTACTCAATTTCAGCATATACTGACTCATTCCCACAACTCTAAGCAATGTTTCCACTTCATTTCAGTTGTGGCAATAATTAATCCCCTTACATTAAAAAGAAGTAACAAAACACATCGCAAAGTCATTGGAAAATGAGGTCAAGATTTGTTGTTGGTTCCCCTCTCTTTCTTGCAGGTTTTGTTGTGTGTGTTTTTTTTAACCTTCTCCTGGTTTGCCAAAAGGAGAAATCATATTAGTGCTGCATGATGGAGCCAGTGTGTTTGTGCACGCATGAGGCATTGTGAACATGAAAAGACGGTGTCGAACAAGACTTTGCTTAGTGTACATTTACATGTATGTGCAGCACATGCCCTGGTGCATGTACATGTATAGTGTATGTCATAGTGTGATGTTGGCTGTACCCTGAACATTGAAGTTCACCACAAAAATATTGACGCAAGGGATTGAAAGGAGGGGTCTGAAATTCTTCCCTACGGTTACAGTGCACTGATTTATTAAATGTACATGCATAGCACATGTGTATGTCCAGTTGTCCACAAAAGCTTCTTTTAAGTCTCGCAATAATGACACGACAGACTATATGAGGCACTTTATGCGTAATGGCTGTAACATTTTTGTTCAATTTTTACAATTTAAAAGTTGATTTTCTATCGCTGTAAGTGTACATACAGGCCCATTGAAGACATTCTGGTTTTAAAAAGGTGAATATATCGGCATTCTCTCCACCACTTTCAATAAATGAAAACTTATTTTTTTCTATCTTGTAATTTTTTTCGGGGGGGGAGGCATGGTTTTGGAAAACACTCATTAAACTTGAAGTAAACTTTTTACTTTATAGACAGAAACAAATATCTGTTAATAATTCATTGATGATTTTCCAAAATCGGATTGTCTAATTGTGTCCGTTGCCTTGCTGGTAGAGAGGAAACTACTTTTTTGAGAAATTAACTGCAGCAGTGCAGATCCATGGGAATTTACTACATGTATTAAGATTTATGTGTCAGTTTTGTATCCATGGTGAAGGCAACTGTACCAGTCTGCCTGTAGTCTCTGTAATTGCCAGAGGTTCTCAGTTCCTCAGTTGGACATGTTTGTGTTCAAGAAGTTTCCTGCGTTCTTTCCTCTCACTGTGATAAATTAAAAAGAATAATGTAATTACCTACATGTACATATGTATATATGCACAAGCAGTGTCACTTGGGAAATACACGAAGGACTGCCAGCCACACTGCACAGCACTCTAGCATGTCCATTCAGATTTGTTCTTGATCACTGCCATATGTTCCCATTACCCAACACCCTCTGTGTAATGAGAATGTGTGACCGATAAATCCACTGAGCCGTACTCAGGGCTTATTAAGGAGACAGGAATCAAGCAGAGAAATCAGTGATGAGTCTGGGGTGGGTACGTGCGTGCGTGTATCCAGTTTCACGGCAGGAAGACTCTTCAGTACAGCACACTTGTGTACTGTTTTCATGAAATACGCCTGGATTCCACATTGCATGCAATGTACCGTATTGTGCATGTTGACCACTTGGAGCAGTTGTACACATGAGATGGCATCGATATCTGTTTCACTCATCACTTAGAGCATCGCTGGATAAGAGTAATCCAATACTGTACAAAACATTACGTGTACCCTGTAATTGCGCACAGGTGCAAAGTCAGCACCATCAGGATTAACGAGAAGAGGCAGTGAGATCTACGCGTACTAAGGACAATCACCTGTTGTAAACTATATTCAAGTTCATACATATTTTTACAGAGTTGCAGTGTAATATATTCATGTACATGAATTTCGATGAAAACTTTAGTTTACCATATTGTTTCCAGAAGTACAATGTGTTATGATGGACGTGCCCATTGTCCGATTGTACCGGGACCCGGTATGGCACGTAGCAAATGTAGTAAATGCATTCCTGACCACTTGCTATGTAAACAGCTATCAAAAAGGCATGCCTTCCAGTTTCTGAACCCTTAGTGCATCCTTTTCTTTTACAAAGACACACCATAAAAGGAACTGAGTTGTAATGATGATATACATGTAGCGGTACATGTTGACGCACAATCTGTTAGCCTAAATTGCACCCATGTTGTATACCACTCTGACATATTTTGTAAACACATCACTTCCCATTGCAGGACAGTGTAAACACAGCTTGCATTTCAACTGTGGGCCCCCCCTTAAATTGAGAACTTTTAAGAAAAACTGTCCACAGATATTCTTTGTATGGATTAATATACATGTATGCCCCATGATGGCATTCCTTTGTGTAGACACCAGTGGTCTAGAAATGTCAGATATGATTGAATATATACTTGTAGACTTGATATTAAACATGCGCCACTGTCAGATACCGGGTACTTACAAATATTAAGTCCTAAATTTGAAGTGAAGTTTTCTTTGTTTCTTCCTCATTTGCTTACAGATTCCTTTGTGAACAGTCAAGAATGGACGTTGAGCCGGACAGTGCCAGAACTCAAATTGGTGAGTAGTGCTCATGTTTCCTGATGCTGGAGGTTTGGGAAGATTTTGCAGGCTGGTGGAAAGTTAGAGCTCATCAAGTGTTTCCGTAGGGCAAAGGCAGCGATGTTACTTTACAAAGGAGTTGAAGTCAAGGAATTTGCCTGTGAGTTCCTATACAGTGATGGACTTTTTAGGAATCGCTGACACAAGCCAAAAGTCAGATTGAGTTTAGGGTCAAACCGGTTGCATGCATTACATATACATGTACATGCAGGGCCCAGATGTTGCACAGAAATTGTACATGTTGAAGAAAGATGAAGACTAAATCCTGACCGGTCCATCCACTGTCCTCCTAGCCTCCACCCAGGGGCAGTGGTTATGCACCTGTCATTAATTACCCTATGTCCTCCCTAATGTCTGCCTTGTGTTCATTATTGCTGATTGGTTTACATGAGACCTCCCCCCTCCCTTGGATGGTCAAGAAACTGAGAGGACAGTCTGAAGTGGTGGCACGTCTTCCCTCCTGTGCAAGGTCACCACTAGTGAGTCACTGGAGAGCGTTGTCACGGCAACAGGAGAGGAGTCCATGTGCAGTTCAAATTAGGCTTGCTGAACCAGTAGCTGGCATGCTGTCTGTTGGAGATGAGATGAAATGACTTTTTTTGTGCCAGTTCAATTTCCTGTCAGATCTATCAACACGGATCGTTACAAAAAGTGCTTTTATGTTCTGGGTTGGGGCACACATGTACATATGTAAAGTTATCCATCAGGGAGTGCAAAGCTCTGATTGCATTCTGTGCTGTACATGCCTGTGAAGCACATCAGCTACTTGGTACATGTAGTAGCACTGGCCTTTGTATGAAATGTACTCAGCCTTAAAAGGAATCCGCTGTGTGGATTATTGATCACAGTATGCATGTAAATATTTTGGGTTATACATATACATGTTTATATATAGCTACAGCACCATCTGTTTTTATTTGGAAAAAAAATGTGTTTACATACATGTACATGTATTTTGAAAAACATTAATGCGCTGGCACCCAGGGTAATGGTCAAAATTTTAGCCGAATGCACATTTTTGCAGCCACTTTCTAAAAAATGCAATTTTGCAAGTTTTAAAATGTTTCCCATGTGGCTGAGGTTTTGACAAACAGCTGGAACCTGCCTTCAAACATCAGGGTAAAAGCTGATGTCTACATGTATGCACCTCCTGTGTTAGATTCAATCTCTGTGTTTTGGTGCCCCTCAAGCAACAAAAATGCTCATTTTTGTAAGCACTCCAGCGTCATTTGGGCATGGGTGCTCCCTTATTCAGGGGCCTACATGCGTATAGATTGGCCAAGAAAGAGGGTGCAGTCAGTCAACCTACAGGTACTTTACTGTAAGATGCGCTCGCACTTGATTGTAAGCAACATAACAGTGCAGCCCCTCTCTGCTGATCTTGGCAAGACCCGGTATTCAAAGGAAATTGCATCGGTTGTGACATCATTGTCGCTGTTTGGCCTTGCAGGGTGTGGTAGGCAGCCTAACCAGTGGCAAGTCAGCACTGGTTCACAGATACCTGACGGGATCCTACATGCAGGAAGAATCACCGGAAGGTAGGTACCAGTGGTACCCCATACAGTTTCAGGAGGGTAGGCTAGTGCCCAAGCCCCAACCCCTCCCCTCCCCCCACCCAAATAAAAGGAGGCAAAAAGACCTCCAGGGACTGCAAATTGGAGTCTGAGATTGGTAAGTCAATTTTAATGTGGTATTGAACAGGAGACAGTGTAAACTGTTTACATGTTGATCTTTGCCAACATGCTTTCCTTATCTAACAGAGCCAGAAATGGTAAGTTTTCCAAGAGCCAGCCTTCAAAAGAATTTTTTTAACTGGCTTTTTTTGGGTGAGATATGAACCCACAACTTCCTCCTTGCTTGTGTGGATGCGTTGTCACTCAAGTATCATATTAGCACTTAGCTTTTCCTGTTGGCTAAATAACGAGTAATAAAGGTCTGTAGTCTACCTACAAATGAGTTCTCTACACAAACAAGGTACCGATGTACATCTCTAAATCATAGCTGACACTTTTTCTTTTTTCCCCTCACTGTTTTTCATCCCTCCAATGACAGGAGGCCGCTTCAAAAAAGAGATCATCGTGGATGACCGGAGCTACCTCCTCCTAATTCGGGATGAGGGGGGACCCCCAGAGCTCCAGTTCTGCTCCTGGGTGGATGCTGTCATCCTGGTCTTCAGCGTGGAAGACGAGATGAGCTTCCAGCTCCTCTACAACTTCTACGCCAAGATTGCCCACTACAGAAACACGGCAGACCTGCCCATGATACTGGTCGGCACTCAAGGTACATGTACAGCTATGACAGAGCTAGGGGTGTGCATTTGTGGGTATTTTTGGAACTGGGTACCCATTATATCAATACTAGATACCTGGGTACCCTTAAAATATAAAGAACACTTAACAAATGTCATTGCGCGTGATCCCAGCAGACCATTTGCCCCAAACAGCTCATTTTTTCGTGCGTAGAAAGCAACACCTTTTTATTGTTACCTGCAATTTGTAACAGAAATAGCTCTGTCAGTCTCTGAATTGTAGTTACTGGTACATGTATGACCCCAGGACCGGGTTTTTCAGTGGCACAGTGATTTTTCAGCCCTTCACTGTTTAAGTTCGCATACATGTTATATGTGGAATTTTTGGGGGGGGGGATACGGGTACCCAGCTCCAAAAAATGGAACTGGGTTTTGATAACAGGGAGATACCCGGCACAGGCCTAGACAGAGTGGTCCTGTGGGTGAACTGTTACCCCATCAGAGTGTAGAATTGAAAGAGTAATGTTCAGAGACAAAAAAGAAATGAGCAGGTTTGTCCTTTGGGAAGCTATCCACTAAGTCTGAATTTGAAATTTGGTCTAGTATGGTTGTCCAAATCGACACGTTTGGAGACAGGATTTTTAAGAAATACGAGCAGACACAAGAGCAGGCTCGGGTAAAGTCATTTGTATTTACTTCAATTTACACACTTCAAATAATGTCCTTCTGTGGCATCCGCCATGCATGTACTTCTAAAAAGCTAATTAATTTGCCCCTTGCCTTAAAATCATGATGGGGAGAAACTTGTCAATTGTTTAGCAGAAAGGGATGGGCTTGAAAAATATCCTTTCCAGATCTCAGAATTACATTTATTGTTTGAATAAGATTCTGCAGTTCTTCGTTGGGCCTGGCTTTTTCCAGATCTCTGAATTGTATTTATTGTTTGAATAAGATTCTGCAGTTCTTCGTTGGGCCTGGCCTTTTCCAGATCTCTGAATTACATTTATTGTTTGGATAAGATACTGCAGTTCTTCGTTGGGCCTGGCCTTTTCCAGATCTCTGAATATTTATTGTTTGGATAAGATTCTGCAGTTCTTCATTGGGCCTGGCATCTTGTAATATTGTGCTGACATATTGTCAGTATTTTATTGGTTTACCTGACTAGTATTGCTCATGTGGTTGCTACTAGCAACAGGGCAACTGTTAATTTCCCACCCTGCGTGGTAATCCCATCATGCATGCATGCAAAGGGGGCCAAAAAAGAGTGCCTGAACCCATATGCCTTTTGGTCTGGTTTTCAAAAAACCCTGGCTCTTGAAAAATTAATTATCAGATGCGCCTGTTGCAAGGATTTACTAAGAAAAAACATCAGAGGGTACATCAGAGCTTTGAAGATGAATAATGGATGTTTTTGGCGTCCCTTTGGTGTATGATTAATCTCCCTATTGATAGATCTTTGCTCTGCATTTTTTCGTCTCTCTTGGCCAGTGCTTACTTAATATAAAAAAAGAGGCGAGAAGATGTTCGATGGCTTGCAAAGGTTAATTGACAGCTAATGTGGAAGGCTATGCACAAAAGGCATCGTAAGGCAGATATTAACGATGCCACTAGTGTACATCTGCATCTTCATTATACGTGTACATGTATACTCCCTCCTGTTTTGTTCATGCTCCGCCTTCCCACTTTTGCTGTTCCATGGAACAAATTTCCTGAGATATGACTCAGAGGTTCTGCAGTGACACAGCAACGGAATATGGGGAAGGTTTTTTTTGGGGGGTTTCATTCATTGTACCGGTAGCCTTCGGACTGTCTCTGTCGAAGAAGGAGAAGTGGCAGACATGATGGCAGTATTGCTGGTAGTGCTTAGAGTATGTCACGGCTGTAGCCCTCGCGATGTAAAAGGGGAGGGGGGTGGTTGTGGTGGGAGTTATGCGGATGATGAATCATAGAGAAGTGAAGAGATGTGGAGAGTGCTTGGCACTAAACCGAGCCTTATCTTTGCCCACCCCATCCGCGGATTGTTGACAAGACTCCAACATGCGATCAGTGCATGTTACATTCATGGTGATTTTTGAAACGGCTTACATGTATATGGGTAAATACTGGACATTGCTGGAGAGAATTTGCAGCAACATTTTGCATCTTCTGTCTTTTTTACTGATCTGGAAGACCATCATTTACTGCAAGGATGACATTATAACCAGAGTTCTTAAATTTAGTCCCATTCATCACATGGTTTAAACAATAAGAGTGTTCCTGTAAAAATAAATAGCTCAGTCACAGAACAATAAACACAAGATTCTCATTTGCAATATAAAATGCAAAAACATGTTAATTCCTCGATGATAATTCACTGATTACAATTTGAAAGTTATGTACCCTATTGCATTATTCTTTATTGTAACCTTAAATTATTCTTTATTGGAACTTTTCAAGGGGGACATCTTAAATGTGGCACACACTCATACATGTAGACACATGTACAGTGTACATGTAGGGGTACATGTACATGTATGTCATTGTGCACACTATCCAAGCATGATGAAAAATGATTATTCCATATCTTCTTAGCAATGAATAGTGAAGAAAGATGAGAGACAGCCAAGACACCTCCATTAATTCTTGATCAAAGAAGTGTGAGGCTGTTTAACTCCAACTCTATCTCTGGCCTTTCCAGTCTTTGCTGAACTGAATCACTTGTGGAATAATCTGTATACATGTATGTACATGGTCATGTACCTGTACATCTATCAAAAGTAATCACACAGAGGCAGCAGGGTACAGATCTTAATCCAACAATTCCCTGGGTCATGACTTGTAATAAGGGACCCTCCCGCTGTCACGAGCTTCTGTCGGTCGTGCATTACTCCAGTTGGGTGAAATTCAGGAGTAGCAGTGATGTGAAAATTGCCTGCTGTTTGACAGGGACATTAGCCTCTCTGTATGTACTGTGTGCGTCTCCCTTCATCTTGGTGGTGGGGGCTGCCGACTCTCCCCTCCAGAGGTCAAGTCAGGGAGGTACAGGTGATTAATGGTGTAGGACAGTCATTATCCAGGGCCTAATTCAACGCACTCCCATTGGACGGGTCCTCATTAAGTGAGTGTGACATGTGGGCGTATAGGCCTCTGATGAAGATTAGGGGAGAGCATGGAGGAAGGAACACATTGGGGAGTGGAATTGAATAGATGCAGGGGGGGCTCTTGACTAAATCTTACATTTAGGAGTAGAGAAGGCTTGAACCAATTGATTTTACTTTTTGAATATTGGTATGCCATTAAATGTCAGGGAACAGAATTTGGAAACATTTGGGTATTGGAGAAGGGGATAGATTTACAATTGTTTGGTACATTTTATTTTGAAATTTTTGAAAAGTTAAAGAGGACTATACATTTCAACCCCAGCAGAATCATTCAAAAGCCAAAGGCTAAAGAGATTCTGCTGGGATCAAAACACCAGGCCCTCTTACTTTTCTGATCTGTATTTTAGGTTGTCGTAGCTAGCAAGCAGTTTACAGCAGCTTTTAAATTTCTGTTTTTATTTGAAATGTTGTTTGGGAGAATGGAAATGCATGTACATATAGTAGGTGGGAACCCTTTAAATTCACACACTCGATTGAGGCTACATGTAGGCTTCAAAAAAGACCCCCATCATCCTGTCAGAAAGAACTACACAATTTCCAGCACCCTGTAATCATTTTCTATACCGGTTCCAAAGCTCTGCACTGTTGTGTTACATGTCTTTTCCTCCCTTGTATATGGGTGAATGTATTAGTGTTCTTTCGATAGGTTTCCCAACCTGCATGTTGCATTCCTCCTGTAGAGAATCCACTGCTCTTCTGGAGAATAATAGGTTTCTTTTCTTCCTGAAGTTTTTGTCCGTATTCTAGTGTCTGTAAGTTAACCCTCACCTTCAAGGACCCCTGGCAATTTGTTTGAAGACTACCATAGAAAAAAAAATGCATGAAAACCCTAAACGTGCAACATCAAAACAGCAGAATAAACACTGGCAAGCAGAACAAACACGTCACATCCGGGTATATACACATGTATGTAAAATGCTCCCACTTATTTGTATTGTCTTTATGGGCTTTTCATTCAGAATTTGAAGCAGATTTACATGCATTTGTCTTTAGTGTTCACTGGAAGAATAACATTTTCCCTGAGCATTATGCACAACATAGACTCCTTGTTGTCATGTACATACGGTTGATATAATATACATGTACATAGATGTGCATGGTTGATGTACAGTGCAAGCCAAGTATACGTACGTCTACATGTAGTATAAAAAAGACTGGTGAATTTTCCTGGATGTGTTTTTTTTTTCCTACTGTCTTGCTCCCGGCTGTGTTTTTTTTTTCAATGTGTACTAATTCCTTTGCTATCAGTCCCTCTGCAAATTGCATTTTAGCCCTTGGGCACCGTGATCAAAAAGATTTGGCCCCAGTTCCAGTCCTGAGAATACAGGGGAATTACAATTTTTCCCTGGGTGATGCTGTAGAAAAAGTGCAATTTCCCCCCCCCCCCGTAAAACTAAAATATTAAATGTGTTTGGCCCTAAAAATAAAAGAAAAAGGCTGGGAACAATATTGTAGAATTTCCATATTTTGTGCCATGTAAAATTAAAAGAAAATAAATGAAATAAAAATGAAAAAAAAAAGTGACTCTTTTTTTTTTTTTTTTTTGCAGATACACATGTACCGGTGTGTATATTAACACTGGATGTGCATTTACATGCATGTACATGTACATGCATATATGTACCTGTACATACTGTATATGTACATCATTAATATTCACCTGCTAAAATAGGAAATGCTTGTTGCAAGTGATAAGACATTTCTAATCACCAGTACATGTACGTGTAATTAGGGACGATGACAGTTTTGTGTTGTCAAGGTACCCGTAGGGTATGTGTGTTGTTCATTAAAATGTATGTCCATCTAGAATAACATGTCTGTATTTGTCATTGGAAAGGGAGTACCAGTAGGTACTGGAAATAGCTACATTCGCTTTACGTTATTTGAATGTCTGCATACTCCTACATTGTACATGTACAAACACAGACATGTCCCCATGGATATTGTTAATGGTCACAATGCTAAATCTACTGTTCTGATGTTAATGTGAAATACATGTAAATTTATGCCGGGCAGGTTTGATGCCATAATGCATTCACGGTAAAAATTGGACTTCACCGCAAAGACATTGGCCATAGATACATGTACATATATACGTGTACGTTGTGTTCATAGAAAGCTTTCTATGTGTAGTTTTGCCTATTGTGTATTTCTTTTGCATAATAACAAGTTTAACTTAACCCTCACTTTCTGACAGCCCAGTGGCTTGTGTCCAGGTGTTCAAGCATTTTGGGAAGATTGAGCAAAGGAAGAATTCATGAGCTCTTTACCCTCATCCTATGAGGGCTTGACAGAATGGGATGTACTAGAGTACACAGAGTCAACAGTGATGTCTTAGTTGACAAAGTTGTGTAATGACTGGTGTTTTTTTTGCTTTCATTTGTTTCAGATACAGTCAGTCAGAGCACGCCAAGGGTTATTGATGATTCCCGGGCGAGAAAGCTAGCAGCTGACCTCAAAAGATGCCCTTACTATGAAACATGTGCAATGTACGGTCTCAACGTAGACAGAGTCTTCCAAGATGGTGAGTTGAGAGAAATCACTTTGAGTGGTGAGTTGAGTCACTGCCTAGTTGGTATTTTTGGAATCCCTATTGTAATCCTCTCCGTTAATACACACCAGTACACATATACAGTACATAGGTAGGTGGGTGTTCTTTTCGTAGGCTGAATCTCCCGTATTTTCTTGTTTTCATTTAGGCTTGCCTTTTCACAAAAATGTCTCATCGTTGGCTTCCAAAGAATGACCACGTGGTTGTAGTGATTACTGTTGCCCATGTGTGCATCTTGTGGAAATGATCACCTTTACATGTACTTGGTGAAAGGCTGGTTCAAACATCTCCACATAATGAGTTGAGACACTGTCTGGTTGAATATGGGAAAATCTTTCTCATGGTGACATTTACCTTTGTGTGCAACAGTAACCAGACATTTAAAAACCGTTCTTAGTGGAATAAGAATACAATGGAAGAAGAGTAAAATGCCGAGTAACGAGGGTAAACTAGTAACTTGCTGAGTAAATTCCATCTCTTGCTCTTTGTTTCGTTGTCAACAAGACTGTTTACTGTACATGGACTGGTACAGTATATAATGAATCACTGATCCCTTTGACATACTCATGAAGTTTCACTTCCGGGTGTATGTACAGTACATGGACACGCACACGTACCATACATGTACGCCGAAATGAAGAGAAATTAACGGACAGCATTTGGAAAATTGGTGTACAGCCAAAACAAGTAGCAAAAAAGGGGATAAGTCTCATCTTGTGACTGGTTGTTGGCAGCGGAGTGCCCCTAGGCACACAATCTACAAAAACCAATGGCATCCATGCGTCTGTGTATTAAATGTATTAACGCAGAATCCCAGAAATTTTTATGGCGGTGACAGAGTTCCCATGGGCCCAATTGCTCATTGCTGGTATTGGACAAATAGGCTGGACCCCATTGAAGAAGCCTTTGTTTGTTGGAGGCAGCACAGAGGCAGGTTTGTTCAGTGGGTTTTTTTACCAGCTGCAGCTGGGGAAAAGGTTTACCCAGCCAGAGGTTTGGCTGTGGTTTTTGTGCCAAGAGAATTTTACTCAACCTGGTCTGTAAAGCCAGGCCTAAAGGCAAGCTCTCCAGTGATGGAATGTCCATACTGGTTGTTGCAACAGGAGAAAAATCCAACAAGGTCTTAGCTTAATCTTTTCCCCCTGTGGAAAACTTTTTTGTGTGCTGAATTGTAGTGCGGATGTGGGTTTTCCATATCCACCATAGAGTTAGATATAATAATATCTAACTCTATGATATCCACTGAACTTGTAAATAAGAAAACTTTCCTTCAAGTGATCATGCCTTGGTTCTCTTAGTACATTTATATGCATTGATTACACTTGTTCAGGTAGAGGTATTAAAAATAATTTTATCCTGGATGGCAGTAGAACACTCATGACAAGGATAAATGACTTGGGTTATTGAATCAGTCATGCAGTATTATACTTATGCATGTAGTTGAGTCTCCATGTCCCTGCAAGTCCATCACAGGTCCATCAGTAGCCATCCTGTTGCACATGTGAAGTCGCAAGCCATTCAAATGAACTGTGACAAAAGCATTCCTTTGTTACTGTTCATCGTGTCGCGTGCGACGGATCTCATGAAAAGACCTGGGACTGGTTTAGGATGGACATGACAACAGCACTGTGCTGCACTGACTGTAGAGCTAGCATACATGTACGTGTATGATACATGTACATATGCGTGTTCATGTAGCTGTTCACTCAGGAAGCCCCTCCCTCCTGGAGGGGGGAGGGCTTAGAATTGGTGTGTTACCCGTACATGTAGTTGTTGTGCAGTGAACTGGTAACTAGCCCTGGAGAGATGTATAGTGTGCAGTGGCTGACACGGTGATTCTATCTTTGCTGAAGGGAGTTTGGGGCTTTGTGAGTACAGAGAGAGTAACATTGTGTGGAGATGTTTTTGAAGTACCGGTATATGTACACTATATGTATTTCTCTGTCTCTTGTAGAGGTTGGTTCATTTAAAGTTGAAGTCTGCATCAACCTAATAGCCCAGTGTTACATTGTGTGACACACCATTTATTTTACTGGTAAACCTACAATGTAGCGCTTGGGTAGATCAGAAGGTAACACCGTGACACCAAGGAGAATAGCCGGCACAGAAATACTTTTATTAACCCTGACCCACCTCAATCCTCCACAACCACCCAGACGATTTTGGAGGATGAATGATGATTTGAACACTGGAGGATTTTGGACGATTGAGGATAAATGCCAGTTTAAAAGCTGGATGATTTTGGAGGATTGAGGATGAATGGTGAATGAAGTACTAAAAATCAGTCACATAGTGGTGCATATGGTCACACATTATGCTGCTTACAATATACATGTACCCAAGGACAGTATGTCCCATTGTTCACTGCTGCTGGTGATAAATCACTCAATCCTCAACTGCAGTGTGTTTAAACAAAAGCACATGTCTGCTTTGTTTATGACAAAAGTCAAGCCCTTAGCCAACTCTGCCAAAAACCAGCTTCAGCCCAGCAACCAACCTGATGTGCCTAACCCTTCCCCTCCTCTCCCCCCCGAAAAAAAACCAAAGTAGGGCCAGGGAGGATTTTGGAGGCTTGAGGATTCAGGTATCTTTCATTTTGTGCATAAGCCAAGAAAATGGAGGATTTTGGAAGACTGGGGACGAATGTAGTTTTTGACATTGGGCAATTGGAATATTTTGGAGGATTGAGGATGTGCTGTTGTAAAAAGGCCCTAGTGGGTTATGGTTAAGGGCAATTCCCAGCAAAAGTGGAAAGTGGTCACACTGTTAATGACGTCATTTTTGTTAATAATTCATAAACAAAAAGATATTTTTGTGGAATTGTCTGCGAGCTGTTTTCTCTAATCTTTACCTACAGCTGCTCAAATCATCCAAGAGCGAAAGCACCAGCAGTTCCTGTCTCTAGGACCCCTGTCCACCTCCAGCTCCTCCCTCCCCAGCACGCCCCACTCCGTCCGAAGCAACAACTTTGGCATTCCGGGGCCCTACCCCCAGGGCTCCTCAAACACGGCCCCCACCAGTACTAACCACTCTAACAGCGGGGGCGGGGCGCCACCTACGCCCACTGCTGGCCGGAGGAACCTGAGCGGGGGCAGCCGGGAGGGCAGCCGGGATTCGTCCCAGCCCAGCCCCAGCAGCACGCCCAACTTCACCCGAAAGTCCAGACGGAAGTCCAACCTGTTCACGGTAATAAATAGACACATCATTGGCAGTGGCAGTTTGTCTAAAACTTGGCCTCGTCTGTCTTGAATTTAGTCTCCTCTTTAATGGGGCTTTCCAGTGTAGTATAGAACATCCTATCCACCTCAAGCAGAAGCACCCCCGAATTGGTTGAAAACATTGGTCGGAAGTGTTCATTTTGTTGGTAGCGATGCGACCGCGATGCATACATTTCCTACCGATAGTTCTTCGTGAACCAGTGAAGTTCTGCTCTGACCAAAGGAGCTTCCAGTGCTAACAAAATACTGCCCTCTCTTGGTCCAGCTTAAGGGCCATTGTTGAATGTGATGAGATCAGAGTTTGGAAAATGGCTCAATAATTACAGCTACACGTACTTTGACAGATGCTTCTGTTTGTTGGCATGCTAGTAATGAATTGGATATTGCATAAGAGTGTATTGCAATCCATTACAAAGAAACACAGAAGTCAGTAACAGAGCGATTGACTCATCATCTGGAAAACTAATTGAATGATTTTGATGCCACTTTTTTTTATTCAGGGTGGTATAACTTTTAACTCCAGATTATCCCTCATGGGTCATTCCTGGTGGTTTCTGACTCAATCCAGGCGTCATGCTTGTATTTCATCAACTTTTAATATTGAATGTTTTGGAAGGAAAATTCAGATAAAGCAGTTTCTTGTTTGTCCAAATGATTTAACCTGTTTCCCTGTTCCCACCCAAATAAATACCCATTTGCCTGCGTCTCCTTGTAGCATGCCTGAAGTGCTGCAATGGCTATCATGTGTGCTTGTATCACAACAGGCTCCGTTTCTAATCAGGCTCCCATTTTGCCCATTTCACAGCAACCAGGTAAGGGCAAGCAGCCAGAAACCAAGAACGGAGCTGAGCCAGTCGCCCGGCCTGCTCACGGCATCGGCAGTGGGAGGAGTATCCCCATCATGCAGGTGGGTGGATTTTGAAAGCATCGTGACCCCCTTTAAGGCTGGTTAAATGCTCAGCACAGAATCAGTAGAGTAAAACCTCAAGAGATGTGATACCATCTTGTATTTTTTCTATGAGTTTGAAGTGGCCGCACTCAGACACGCTTGATTGCCGGCAGTGCTTTGAGGATTCTTGACGTCAAGTGCATTGTGTTTTGCATTTGTTTCAAATCCTTCACGTTGCAAACAATTGAGAAGTACCGGTGTATTCATGACTTGTTTGCTTTCGTTCTCTTACAGGGTCTTCTGTACAAAAGGAGTAGTAAATCACTCAACAAAGAGTGGAAAAAGAAGTATGTGACCCTATGTGATGATGGGAAGCTAACGTATCACCCTAGCCTACACGTAAGTTGGTTACCCAAAGTGTGATAACTTACGGTAGTAATCAGTTAACCAGGGGTGAGATTTGTCAGGATATCTCCTGATTTCAGGATGTTTTTGTCGGCATTCCTAATTTCAGGATTTTTCAAACATTCCTCTCACATCTGGAAAATCATGGTTTACCACCACAGTGTTTTCACATTGAAAAGTTGACATAGAGCACAAGTCACAGATCCTGTGCTGCTGTGGGGGCCGTCAAACCTTTTGGTTATTATTTCATTGATATATCATTTTCCTCCAATCTCGCCCCCTGGTCAATGACCGTAAACAACTGTGACAAGTTTTGTCCACCTGTGTGCTGCACTTTTGTGATGAAAATAGTATGCAGTTTGGCAGTGGCATAAATAGTGTAATTCGTTTTGATAAAGTTCACTCATGATGATTCTTGGACTCATGAAATTAGAGCATCCAAGACATGAAACTGTACATTTGTTTTTAGGCTTAAATGTGAATATGGATAGCGTAGCTTTACAATCTTCTCTTACATGTAGGTGTTAGTGGCATAAATTTACAGTAACCCTTTGCCCTAGAGCTTTAGCAGAGCTCAAAGGAGTGACGTCATAATGTATTTGGGGATACTTACCTCTACAATCATTGCAAAGAAAATTGGTCAACTCTTATCCCATAGCAGAAAGTTAGTTTCAAGTTTGTTGAGTTATTTGTACACTACTCTTAAAGGGTTTTTTCTATTAACCTTCTACTTTTAGGACTACATGAACAACACACACGGCAAGGAAATCCTGCTGATGAACACCACTGTCAAAGTACCAGGCAGGAAGCCACAGATTGTGCGCAATAACCCTGGCGGGTCGCCCAGCAAGGGCAACCCAGGCAGCAACGGGATCGCCAACAACATGCGGGCCATGACGATAACAGGTCACGCGGGTATAAGAATAGTCTGGATTGATCCTTAAAAAAACATGACCCTCTCTCTTTGATTTTTACTAGAAATCTAAAATCATACCTGAATCTCAATTTTGGAATGTTTTTCCACTCTTACGTTTGTGTTTTTGTTTGTTTATGTATGTCTGTATTTGTCTTGTCATTAATCTATCTGTCCAGAGCCTATTGGACAAAAGCTTTTGCTTCACCTTTGACTTAAATGTTGCCAACTATTTAAATATTACAACTATGTATTGATCATCTTCATTTTAACCATGTACTGGTCAGCTTGAAAATAAATACTTTTCTCTATTACTTTGTAAATCAATGCTAGCAACAAAATATATTTATCTGTATCATGTTTTTGTTCGCCTGGAACTTCCCAAGGTAACTGACATTTACCCTAACTCTCCATGAGCTTTCAAAGTCCCCAGAAGGTTTTGCCTGATTTGGCAGGATTTAGGAAGGCACAGCCTCAGCCGCTGTTTACTAACTTGGGGCTTGTGGGTCCTGGGAAAATGAAATAGGAAGAATGGTGTTGTTGAGTCTCTCCACTGTGGAGGATTTGGGAGGACTCTTGAGAGGCTTTCAACTGTAAAATGGCTTTTATAGTTAAAGCTCATTTTTCCCTTTTTAAACTTATCTTGTCGTTCTCCACACTTCAGGGATTAAAAAAAGAGGAAAAAAAACCCAACTTTGTTTTAACAGTTGGTTTGTTTTTCTTTTTTTGTTCTCAGGTGGAAATACACATGCCAATCAAGCAGCCTTTGCCAAAGACGGTGGTGTAAATTTCCATTCGTTCAAGGAGCGCCAAGAGATCAATGCCAAGTCCACGTCCTTGCCGCGGGACACAATCTTGGACTCAGTGGTCATATCCAATTCCTCTGTCACTCCAGGTGAGTGAATCTCGATGTCAAGCTGCTAAATGCCATCCCAGAATGTTCAAAAGAAGATAAATCAAGAACAGCTTCTTGAAGATTAAGATGAATTGACCCAGGGGATTGGCGTAGTTGAAGATGGAGAACTCAGTGCAGGGTTTCAGTACACCAAATAAAGCGTTTTAACAGTATCTTTCACTCAACGTAGGGATCAGACTTCCCTCAAATATATCAGCATTGTCTCTGTTTGGGGCTTCATCTTTGATATGAAACCTGCTTCTACACTGATTCTTTTGAAGGTATAAAATGGAAATACTTCCATCTTTGGGTCACTAGCGCCTAGTTTGATGCTCTTCAAAACTTTGAGTCAAGCTAAAGCTCCTAAGACAGGGACTCGGAAATCAGGCAAAAGCTGGAGACAAAAACCAGGATTTGGAAAACTCCATTTGTAAACAGCGATTACATTACCCTCTTGACCGGTGACCCAGGGTCAACTCTCAAATTTTTATGCACCATGTTCTGTTTGTACAAGTTTTCCCAAACCGGGTCAATCAGATTTGAGGGGAGGTATCCAATCGGATTCCTGAATCTTCACTAGAATTGTCTGTCCGTGTGTGGATGTATGATGTGATCTCTAGCCCCCAGTTAAGTGGTTTCAGGGGTGTGGGCTTCGTGCGTGGCCATCTTTCAAGAAAAATGGGACAGTGGCTGCTAGAAGAGAAACTTTATGGCCATTTTCTGCCAGGCGTAACTAATGCTTTTGGGGAAATCAAACCTCATATTGCATGCTGCATTGAAAGTGTGCATCAGCTGTACGGCTTGACTGGTGAGGATTTTCAACGGCTTTGTACATGGTTGGATCAGTGGTATGCTTTATGTACATGGCCACTAAACATGGCACTGTCGTCAAATTATGTCCCTTTCCCATACTTTTTTTTAATTCCAGCCCCCCCCCAAAAAAGCTTGCTAGATTTAATGTTCCTAGCAACTTTATTTCTTGTCACTATACGCAGTTTCTTAATGATAATAGTTAATCAAGTATTGATGGCTCTTATGCATTTGATGTGAAAAAGTGCAGGAAACCTCGACAGATTCAAATGTTTGCTTTTGCTTGACCACAGAAATGCACTTTTAAAATTCTATTGTGTGGAGAGGATACTCAAACCACATAATTGAAGTGCTGTTTCCGTTTCTTCCTCTGAAATAACAGCCAGTTTTGTTGCTTCTTAAGGCATGCTTTTCAAATCCTTCCTTCCTGATTTATTTAGACTCTTCCCTTTTGTTTCGCACCAGTGTATGGCTTCTGTGTTCAGCCAAGGGGTTCTCCGACTTTTTTCTTTTTCACGAATGTGTAAGCAAGCATTTAAGCGATAGGATGGAGTACACACTTTTGAAAATAGTGAGAACGTCATATTGGCCATCATCTTCCTGTGCATTCTTTTGGGAAGGGGGGTCAGTGAAAAAAGAGTACGTTTTGCCTTCTCGCTGAATTGACTCGTTAAATTGAAGGGGAAAAAGATTTCTGTTAGTAATCATATTCTGGAAAATGAGCGTGATGTCGCACACACGGCAGAACATTTTTTTGTTTTTGTTTTGTTTAAGAAATACCTGTGTTATTCTTGACTGCGTATGTGTTATAATATACAGACAAAGGGACACTTTCAATAGTATTACAGGTTTTGAAATATGTATGAAGGTTTTATTGTACAGGGAAAAAACTCTGTCACATGTGTGACATCAGGCTCATGTTTCAGTTAATGGATAATCAAAAATTCCACATCCCAGACCTGAAGTGACTTTTCAGTGGCCAAGTGGATGTAAAGAAACGTATCTCTCACACTGTGCAAACTTTACAGCCGTCGGAGCACCGGGTTGTTTCGATGACAAGTAGCTGTCCTTGTGGCACAAACAATACCTGATGGATTTGCAGGGAATGATTTCATGTCGACCACAGTGCATACATGTATGTGTACGTTGTAGATCACCTGGCTAGAGCTTTCCTGGGGTTGGTTGCCGAATGGTTGGCGTGTATAAAATATCAGTATATTTTTTATGTTCAGATGTGCATATATTGATATATATTTCACCGGATTCCAAGCGAAGTACACAGGTGTGATGAGGTGTTCAGGCATGGAGAAGGCGTTCACAATTTATGCCATGAACAAATAACAATATTTTTGCAGATACTGAGCAGATACTGAGATGCTGAGATATGCATGCAAGTGCAACCTGAATTCTATTTTGAAATTGTTCACATGGATTCAGTAATGATTTATCCACTTCTTGTTCTCGCATGTGGTTTGGGTATCCTCTCTACGTGTGTGGCCTTGGGTAAGACACGATTCCCACATTTTACACCGCTGTTTCAACGGTTCTCTTGCATCATGCTTGGCGTGGCACAGCATGCAGTTTGGCCTGAGAGGCTCTTTTTTTCCCGGTTTCTTTGGTTTTTGTCCCTTGAGAAATGAAAAATTGGATGGCAACTGGCGGATTGAATGCTCAAGCACAGGAAAGACAATTTGAGACTTAGTTTGGGGATTTGTGCAGTGAATGTCTAACGAGAATCATTGTGTAGAAAGAAATAAGCACAGCAGTGAGATCTTTCCAACGCGTGCAGCGGTTGTTATGATAATTGATGTGTGTGACATCTGGTGCTGGCTAAAAAGGAAATCCATTCCCTGTTCAAAATGGAAATTGCCAAAGCAATTCAAGCAGAAAATAAGATTTTGTAAGTGGCTTTCAAATTAGACGGCTGCACTGAATTGTAATTATGTAAATATATCACGTTGTTACAATGTTGTTGAGGCATCCTACCCTTTTAATGTCAGTCTCAAAGGAAATCAATTTGGCTGTAGTCCTTTGTGTGTTATGGACTTACACATCTCATACTGAGTTCAGTGGATTATTTCAGGAGAATAAAGAACTGTCTTGAAATGGCCCTTCTTGTTCATCACTCTTCTAGACTTTGCAAGTGCATATTTGATACACAGTTGTGATGAACTTTGTATACTAAGTGGTTTTTTAGGGTTTTTCTTTATACTAACATTGATTGACATGATTAACAGTGAATTATTGCATGATGTGGATTGGTGTGTGGTTGAACAATTTACGAATGTTGCATTAATTAAACGAAATTGAGCCACATGTTAACTTTTTATTTAAACTCTGGGACTGATATTTTGGATTTCGTCGCTGTTTTTTGAAATGAAAAATGTTTCAATGAAAAATATTCAGAATTTCGATGACATATAATCTGAACTGAAATTGCAGACCTTGAACTGTTGCAGCATTTGGCTTTACCCCACCAGGAAATAAAAAGTTGACAAATGAAGATCAGAAAAACTTTTGAAAAGATCACTTGTGACTTGGGAATATTGTTGCCTCTGATACGGCCACCATTTTTCATCACACGACAGAGCGTCGTAAGCTAGATCCCTAATCCTGTAAGGAACTGTCTGCAAACTGAAAAAGGCTGATAAATAATTCTTTTCAACATGGTATCTGTAATAATCAAGAAGAGGCCATTCACCCCACATTAGTCACGGGCTGGCACGGACCTCATTTATCTCTTGGTGTTTACCTTGTTTCCGAACAAATTTTGTGTAACTCGGCCCATGATTTTTAAATTATATTTTAAACAAGCTAAAATCAGGAATTCTTACAAATCTTCTTATTCTAATGTGCAAACTCCAGCATTAGTCATTTATAAGTTGAATTCTTCATTTTGCTGTGTCCTCTGTCATTGTAGGTATTTCTAATGGGATGGATGCCCCCATGTCCTTCCCCCAAATGGGCAACCTGGTAGGCGGCAAGGAGTCATCCAAGAAGAAGCACCGACGAATGAGGAGCTCAGGTGGCGGCAAGAACCTTGACACGTCCAATCAGCAGGAAGGTTTGTACCTGGAGTCATTTGAACTGTCCTCTTATTAGTTCCGTACTGCGCTGTTTGGCGCAGCTGGAAGAGTTCATCCTAATGTCTTTGTTGCTGAAGACTCGGAGTGACCCTGGACTCGAGCCAGTCTGCAGAGGATGGAGTCTTGCTTGAGATAAACTCTCAGAAACTTTACAAAGACCTGGATTAAGACTTAACTCGACCCTCTCGGCCAAAAAACAAACCAAATGTGGATTTGCTTTGTTGCTGACTAGTGTTTGCCTTCGATTTGCCAAAGTTTTCACTTCACCAATATACATCAATATCCTAAGCAGTACAGCCTTATACTTTATGAAATATTTTTTATTGAATAACTTCTTTTAGGGTCAAAGGAATGTTTTTTGCACACCACCTGCTCCCAATTTCAATTTTCATATTTCCTTTACAGATGGCGATGAGTATGAGTTTGTCATTGTTTCGCTGGACAATAGACAATGGCATTTTGAGGTCTCTTCAGCAGAGGTGAGTCAAGCGGTCTTGATATGAAGTAGATCAGCTTAGTGCTTGATTTCAGTTCAGCCCAGTCCCACATCTGTGGAGCTACTCAGCAAAAAAAAAAGCAGTTAGTGTATTAAACAAGAGCAACTGATGAGCTAAACCAGCCATGGGTTACATGTTTTACCCTATGGGGAGTGTCAATTTGATCCCTCCCCCAATGAAAGCATCCTCCTCCTTTGAATAGGGTTAACTAATATACTGAGCCTGGTCACCAGTTTGTTTTGGTGAGCAACCTTTTTCAGTGTTTACTTGGATAGCAGTAGGTAAATGTGTAATTTTACCAATCCAACCAAACCCCCCAGAATAGCAACTTTGTGACTTCTGAAAGTGTATAAAGTACTTTATGTTGCTATATTAGGAACGTGATGTGTGGGTAACAGCGATTGAACAACAAATCCTTGCCTGTCTGCAAGCCAATGTGAGTGCCAAAGGGCTGATGACCAACGTGGAGAGGTCAGCTGCGGTGGAAGCCATCCGCAAAGTGAGGGGAAACAACCAGTGTGTAGATTGTGGAGCACCAAGTAAGTATGCACGTGTTGTACAAGGGGGTGATGAGAGGGCAGGGGAAGGGTTGATGAGGGGTAGGGAGGGGTGCTGAGGGGGTAGGGAATGGTGATGAGGGGCTGGGGAGGGTGATGGAGGGGTGGGGAAGGGTGATGAGCTGCAGAGGGGAGTGAGGGAGGGAAGGCTCTTTATAATTGAACTCTTTGATACATATTGGATATGAAGTTGTTGAACATTCAGTCCTGTGCTGTTGACAGAGTAGGATCAGAGTGTTTGCAGATCAAGTTTTTCTTGGATATTGATAAGAGGAAGGACAGCTCGCCTAATTTGCTTATGGAGTGTCTAAAAACAGAGCTAACTGGAGATTTCCCTGTTTGGATTGCCCCTGGCTTTTAATAGTGCAGCGAGATACATTGGATGTCTGTCCAGTCTTGTTTATTGGAAATCGTTGTACTGTATTCAGCCTGGGAGTTAAGAGGTTAACCTGTTCAGTGTAGAGATAATCATGGCAGATGTACATATGGAGAGGCCGAGGGTACAGGAACCAAATCAGTGGCTTGCAGTTTTGTTTGCAATAAAATTTAAGTTTCCTTGTAAGTTTCAGCATAAAAAGTACTGTAAGCGTGATACATCCTGAAGTTGTAGCACCAAGAGAATCTATCCTGGTGGATACACATGCACTTTATAAATACCCCGTTATTATTAAATGTTTCTGAATTTGGTGTTTATCTCACAGCGAAAACTTTTCCTCCTCAATTTGCTTTGTGCCCCACATTGCTCTGTAGGCATGTGGCATTGATTCTTGAAAATAAATTTTGATTTGTGCATCTGCATTTTGAAATGCCTACCTTGCTCATGAAAGACGATTTCTACGCACTCACATTCGCTTACATACAGGATGTCCTACTTGCAGACAAGTCTGGAATTTCTCAACCATACTTTTCACCGCCTTACCTTTTCAGATCCTGATTGGTCCAGTCTCAACCTTGGAGCGTTAATCTGCATCGAGTGCTCAGGAATCCACAGAAATCTAGGCTCTCACGTCTCCAGAGTACGTTCCTTACAGCTGGATGAGTGGCCGTAAGTACACCCCTGAATATCTGTGTTTTCCTTATGGGTCAAAGAGAGGGGACCTGCATTTTCCATACTGCATCCTTGAGTACTTGTGCCAAAGCTGGTGTCATTTAATAGACACAGCTTTTTACCTATCAGGGGCCTGAGAGATGAATATCTTGCATGTTGCTGTGGAGGTTTATATACTCTTTACTGCCATTTCCAATGTGCGCCAGAAAGCTTTTAAGGCAGTTTCAAAGACATTCATATGAAAAGAGATCCAGTAAGCCCTGCTCACCACACACATCAACCACCAACACGAGATCCTTTTAAATAGTATACTGTCTGATCCAGCTGTGCATGTCATATGCATGTACATTGGTCGTATGGTTGGTGTACATGTCTGGTCAGTGAGGGATGGGACTCGACCAATTTGCACCGACCTGGCTTTGTGTATCACCTTGAGCAGTAGCCCTACCCCCCCCCATCAGTTGGTAGGGAGAATTCATTTTGTTGGTAGCAATGTGACCGTAACGCATGCATTTCGTTGTCATTTTTTGAACCAGCGATGTGCAGTTCCCACCAAAGGAGCTTTCTGTTGCTAGGGAAATTGCGCCCTCTCTTGGTCAAGCTTGGAGCTCATATGCAGGCATGACTGAGGAGTTGAAACACAAAGGAGCTCCCAAAGTCACTTTCTAGATGGTCTAATCCCGTATTAGTCATATACACTCACAAAGTTGGAGAAGTTTGTTGAAGTGGACTGGGTGTTGAACTTGAACTTGAACAGGCTGTTATGGCAGCAGATACCTCTCCTTGGGCACATCCTGGAGTGTTGAAAAATATGAGGTTGCCGTAAGAAATACCCAGCAAATGCTGTTAACTGACTCTTGCCTGTCAGTATTTTTGGCTTTTGCCTGTATATCCAAAGATAGTCACCGTATCTCGCCTTTTTCAAAGATCAAAATTTTTTGCCTAAAACTCATGTTGTCAGCATGTGGTTTATGGATTGGTTTATTTCTTGTCTGTACTGTGACCTGTTAACACACACATGCTTGGTTCGCATACGTAGCATGGACATTCCTTTGTTCTTCTGTGGTTAAGAAAACACAAGGAATATGTTCCTTTTTCTCCCCCATTACAAGCATTCCTTCGAGTTGGATTTTTGATGATGATTTCCAGGACTGTTTCTCTCCATTTTGCCGCAATAATCCTGACCCCAGAATGCCTCTGAAACTGTGTTCGAGTGAGGGGAAAAGACTGCATGGATGCATGCAAGTCCACACGTTTTCTAACCCCACATCCTGTGGACTTCTTTTGTGCCGAGGGTTCACACTGTGTGTGTCGTGCTTGCACACCGAGAGCCTGGTTGTTTTTACGTGGATTTGGATCTCGATCAGTGATTCGAAGGCTGGTGCCTTCTATCCATTAGGCAGGTTCTGGTGTCAGTGAACAAACATCGGATTACTTATTGTGATCCAGATCCTCATGAAACAAACAGACCCGGAGCTTGACAGTGACACTCCTTAACCACTACCAGCCGGGGACTCCGAAATCGGAGCCGT